CTGGAGCTGTCATTATCTAATATAATCACAATCTATAAATTATATACTAATAATAATAATAATAATTAATATACATATAATTATTTATTATATATATATATATATATCAATAAAATTTCGTAAATTTAATTAAATTTTAATAGGTTATTTATCATTAAATTTCATTGTAATTCGAAATTTTATACGTTTATTGCCTTATTATTTTATTCTTAATTTTATCTTTAATTAAATTATATTAAGAATTTTATTATATAATTTCTTCTTTAATATTAAACAATAAAAATTGTCTTAGGAACAAACAATTTTTATTTCTTAAGTAAATTCTTATTTATTGATGAGTTTAGGACATTTGAAATGGCAAATATTACTTTAATATCGGTACAAATGACGTTAAAGAAATTTGAAAAAAAAAAGGAATCACGTGGCTTCCGGTCCCGATAGGAAGTTCTTATACAGTTAATCGGACTTTCTTTCCCTACGCTTTCCCTATCTGATCCCGATTTTTATCTATATTTTCATTAAGTCTGATAATTTACGATATAAACCATGAGTTTCTTCTATCCCCCACATCACTAAAATTTGACAGCATCAATATTCTGTACATAAAAATAAACCTGCTAATTTTCAAAGCTTTTGGTCCATCCGGTTTTGAGATATAATGCAAAACCGGACATCGACATCGACAGACGAACAAAGTTTTACATAGGTTTTTATACATTTTTGGACCCCGGAGTGTCAAAATATCGAGAAATGCAAAAACAACGGAGGAGTCATAATTTGACTAATCGCATATTTACTTTATGTTATATTCATGTACAGCCGGGAAAGTAACAATGAAAATAATTTTATGGTTTTCAAGACTCATTTTTGACCGTCCTGGTGTCCACAGGACGGTCAAAAATGAGGGCCTTCCGATCATACTATTGTGAGTTCAATCAGGCCCACAATGGAATGATCGGGTGAAGAGGGACTTTCCTCTGTCTCTCGCCAAATTCCTAGAAGTTGATAGCCCGGATTCGATCCTGGATCCTCCAGAGAATTAGAACGACATCTTAACCCTGGCTGGGCCATCTAGCCGTCAAATAATTTTATGTATATATTATTTTTGCCTTATAAATATATATATTATGTAGACTATATATTATTTATGTATATATCATCTATAAAAGCGACACGAATAACTTTTCATAAAGTTTTCATTCACGTCACGACATATTATATTTTTTTAAAAAAATCGTATCGCAAATAGCTTTCAAGTATAAAAAGAATTTTTTTATTTGTTATTTTATAACGTTTATAGTTTAATTATACCTCGTCTTACAACATTTTTTATATTTCTGTCAGTGGCCATTGTTTGACTGTATTTATTTATTTAATTATTTTAGTAAATTTAAAGTGTTTTATTCATTTTTTAAATTAATTTTCAATCTCATTATTTCTTCTTATGTCAATTATCCAGAAACAAGTTTATAGATTCAATATTATAAATATTTAATTAAAATTAATAAATTTAAGTTATGGTTTATTCCAACATTAATTATATTTAAAAATATATTAATTTTAAAACTAAATTTAAGCATCAATGACAAGACACACGAGCAATTATTTATTGTGGCATCGTCATAATGCCGAACTGTAATTAAAAGCTAGGCATTTCCATTTTTGGTCTAGATTTTTTATGGTCATTAAATTAAAATTATACTACTGTATTTTATATTTTTAGGAATATTCGAAGCAATAAGGCTGTATGTATTTAATTCTATATTAGCTTAACTCTTGTTAAAGAATTGTTTATTCCACGCAAATGTATTGAAAAAAAAATTAAATATTAAATTATAAATGACACGAGGAAATATAATATAAAGATAATACGAAATTAATATTATAAAATTCCTTATATACAGAATACTGAAATTTTCGTGTATTTAGATTTTATTAAATATAAAAGATATTTTTTTCAAATGTTAATAATTTATAAACAATGTTTAGTACAAATATACAGAAAAGGTTACATCGTTCGTTAAATAATTGATTATTTAATGGATGATGCACCTGCTGTAAATTTACGTGAAAGTTTTTAGAAGAAATTTATGGAAAAATAACGCAAAACATGGGTGTTGTCAAGGCTAAAGTGCCTCTAGGAAGACTTTCTATGACCCCTTTTAGGCGTTTCTTATGGGAAACTGGACCATTATGGAAAAATTGCCCTATATACATGTTTTATGGAAAACTGGTCCGTATTTAGGTATTATACATGCGAAGAAAACCCAGAAAACTCCATTTTGCCAACCTATTAGGTAAGGCGCGAACCCAATGACTGCGCTCAAGTGGTATCTTATTCACTCGGCCACTGGTGCACTCTAAATTATTTAATTAAATTCAAAAGTACTTTCCAACTATTAATCTTTGTTCAATACAACAGTTAACTCTTACGTTTAGGTCCACGTTAATCCCAAATTAACTCTAAATTCTGTAATTTAATTAATTAGTAATTACTTAATTCTAACCTAAAAATAATCTTACTTTAGATATGTTTTGTTAAAAATATAAACGATTTATTAACACAATGGAGCCTCCAATAACGACCACCTTTAAACAGAGGCCATATTTATAAATTAGAATACTACATAAAGATGTAAATAGGTTTAAATTAACAATATATAGTCAAAAACCCATGAAAAATATCCGTCGCGTGAGGTTAGTTTTGTATGCATTTCGAAAATATCCTGAAAGAAAATGGCCGCCATTTAGAAATGACCGTTGTTAGAAGGTGGCCGTTAATGGAGGTTGGGCTGTATATATTATTATAAAGAGGGAAAAAAATGCATATTTCAAAATTACCATATGACAATGTCGATATTAAGATTAATGTAGTAAATGCACTAGCGAAATAAAAAGAATGGGAAGTTTTTCAATCACGCAAAGAAAATAATAAAGATAAGAGAAAAAATCACATTAAAGCTAATGGAAAAGTTGATCAAGTTTTAGAATTGAAGTTGTATTGATGTAGAATGAAATTCTATTTTTTTTTTTTTCTTCCTTTCTATCGAATGATAACGAACAGGAATCTTTCGTGCCACTTTTGACATTTTAACATGAAATAAACTCACGAGAAACATGCATGTGTTGTTGACATATCCGCGTGATTGTTATTGAAATTAGAAAATTCCAGTAGCGCATTCACGAAACTCTAAGTAAATTTCTTAGAAACTTTTAATAAAACAATTCTCTGTTTATTTAATTTTAAATGAAATAATGAATCTTGATTTAATAATCGATATTTTCGGGATGACTTACCTTAAAAGTTATGGCTCCATTTCGATTGTGATCGAAAGCTTTGAAGACATAATGAGCATAAGAACTGGCATCTGTTGAAAAGATATATAATATAATATATATATATATATAAAGAGAAGAATTGAAATAAGTCGTGCTTTTTAAATTTCAATGAGAAAAATAGTTTTATTTTCTGAAAATGTCGTTGGATAACAATTTTATAGAAGTTTTCTTTGTCATGCAAACAACTATCTTCGTCACGTTTGTTTTATAAAATATAACGTTGTGAATAGTAAATTTAACTACTTTTTCAGTATATAAATTTTTATACATTCGTCTTATTTCATTTTTATTAAAAAATTCTATTATAAAATAATTATTTTGCTATTGAAAATATTTCACATGCGTGTTTATAATTGAGAGAAATGTTAAAATTTATATATTATTCCCGAAAAAGACTATTGTAAAGCATAATCTAGAATGTAACTTTTCAATTTTAAAATAACGTCTCCATTAATCCTAGTCAGAAATCTAAAAATCCAATTTTTTTCTGATATAGAAGATGCAAATCGTATTGAACTTTCGTAGTAATCATGCTATCAAATGTTGTCCTTTCAAGAAAATATATTTTGTATCGCTGAAATGCTTATTCTTTTACATTTTTATTCTAATATCCAAAAGAAAAACGCATTTTTCACTTGTTGACTTTGTAGATATCATTCGTACATGACTTAGTTGCTTACTACTATTGAAAATTAAACTATTTCTTTTTAAATTTTTGGTATAATAATAAAAATTGGATACTTACTACCATAAGGAAAAAATCTAGCAAATACTTGTTTGAACGTATCTTCTTCGACGTACCCCGTTGGACATTCCTAAAATTATACATTAAAAATATGTATATGTTTAAAATTAATACGTAAACTTATATTATTTAATTGGATAATTTAAAAGTAATTATATATTAATATTATTCAAACGTTAATTAAAGAATATATGAAAATAATCTATATAGAAGAAACTGATCTTTACGTTAAAAAGGATGCATATTTATTTATATTCTTAGTGATTTCTTTTAGCATTTCTAATTTTCAAATAATTTACGGAAAATAAAATATTACCAATTAATGAAAATTTTAAAATTATAATAGCATGATTTTAACTATAACACGTACCAAATAGATTGCATTAAAGTTCATTGATGCGTTAAAGTTTAAGATGAAGAATTTAATAATAAAAAAAACAATCCAGCAACGAGTTGCGTAACTTTCTCGGAAAGATAAATTTATTTGTGGCGCCATCTGTTATGAGATTTTATTTAAAACTTTTTATATTATTAATTATTATAAAACGGCAAGAAGCTTAATTTTGAGGAGAGATGAGTTTTATAAAATAAATTATAAATGATAATAACGAGTATAATCTTCATTAAATCCGACCCAATTCGAAATATGACATATGACCCCACGCTATCTCCTCACTCCTTCGATCTTTAACCATCAAAATTTAACAATATCAATGCCCTAATATACAACCTCCCCGCAAAATTTCACAAATTTTCGACAAAAGGCACAGGAGTTATTCAGCTTCAAATTGGATGAACAAAGTCTTGCCACAGACAAACTAACATACAAACATACGGGAAAAAATTCGACTCTCTTTTTGCATTTCTCGAAATTTCAAGATCCCCGAGTCCAAAAGTATAAACATATCGGGGGAGTTATTTTTTGACCGATCACCATACTTTACCCATTATATATTTATAAGAGTCGGAAAAATTTGCTATATCTCTCTAATTTATATCGATACTGGTGAAAAAATTGTACTATAGTATGCTGGCGACATACTAACAATAAGTAATAGTATAAATGTTTAAGACATTTATACAAATTTATTATTAATTAACAAAAAATATACAAATGGTCCATCAATTCCGTATCACTATGAGTTAGTAGGACCATGCTATACGGGAGAAATATACCTGCGTGAAATGGAAATAGAAATAAAACAAAACATTAATCATACATAAAACCTTATTATACATTTTAGGTGTTTTTCATATATAAAAAACATTTATGCCAAATTAAAATTGCGTCGAGTTTAAATATTACGGTCATATTTTTTAAAACTTTATTTAAGTTTGTCAGTTTTATACTTTCCCACACACGTTTATTGCCGTTTGTTTATCGTTAAGGTATTATTGTACTGTATATACGGCATTGTAGTTTGACGTTAGACATACAACTTTGCTTATTTCTGTATCAAACCCAAATATATAAAAATGATCCATCTCTCCCGAATGTCAGGGAGAAATGGATCATTTATCATTCATAGATAGATCAGACTGCCACGACTCCTCTGTTGAAACCGGAACTATTACAACACGTTGCAACGATTAACTGACATAATTTACTCTTTGTATGAGACACGGGTTGAAAAATATTATGAGATAACTTGGGTATTATCTTATCATCGAAAATATGAAAAAACTTTTGATCCATCTAATTTGTATTAGCTGAAATATTTGTGTAAAGATCACAAAACAAAACGGTGTATTATGCACATCCACCATGAACAGATGACCATCGCCAACACATTCTAGTGATCGTTTCAAAAAATACTGGTCCATTCTCTCCCGAACTTACCCTACACTTGTACTAATTTTTTTCAGAAGAAATCATATATACATCCCACATACAATCGTATATAACTTATAAGTTGATAGAAATCGTGTGTATATTACTTCACAATTAACCACAAAAAAAAACTTTTACGTCTCGACACTAATAATTGCCGATAAAATATTTCCTTAAATTCGCTATAAATTATGAAAAAATAAATAAAATTACATTTTTACATGTTTCAGAACGAAGCAGGAAAATTTATTTTAATGCCTTTGGGCTGCTGTAAAACCATAATTTTTTTTTGCGTGTGTGTAAAATAAAAATGGCATCTGAAAAAGACTCGGAATTTTATTTTATATAAACATTGAATATGCCAATTACTTATATAAATATATTATTTGAGAATTTATTTAATTAATATAAAACTTTTAAGCGCCGTATTTAAATATAGTGTCTTTTTTACATAATTCATAAACATCAGCTTATGAAATTTATAGAATATAAATTGAGATTAATGAATTTTCATTTATAAATTACATTATAAATACATTTTTTAATCATTGAAGCAAGCGCCATTATCATATGATTACAGTATAACACTTGTAATCAATAATAAAGAACATGACGTAAAAATAGTAGCAGCTTTATAACAAAGTATAGGAAGTCATTTTTCTTCCTACACTTTGCTACGTATTCAAATTATAGTTTTTAGCTCGAAAACAATGCAGCAGAAGTTAATTAATCCCGCACGTACGAGACCAGATTGCTGCCGGAGTATCGAAAATGTCGCATTACCAGGTATTTCGTAATTTGTATTTTCGCAAAAATTGGTACATTATATGCGAATATTGTAGACATTGTAGTACTGTACATTTTGTACCAGCTCAGGCTAGTGTACGATTTCTTTAATCAGTCTGAAAATAGAGGCCCTACAGTATACTGTGTTATGATTGATTGTAATATAGGCTATTTGAAAAAAGTTAAAGCATACGTTATTATGCAGAATACACATTTATAATGATTTCTGCGCGTAATATTAATTTTCAGACATGTACTACAATGCATACAGTCAGTGCATTACGATTCACAAAAGCTACACATAATAGGCCTACTGAGTGTGAGAAACCCAGTTTTAAGTGTGCTGTTCTCGCATTGGTCTGTGGGAAATAAATTACCATACTAACATATCACAATACGGTACTATATAAGATACTAGATTACCGGATTATTATCGAAAATTCCGAATTATGGAATACTCTTCGGAGGTGCCGGATTAACGAATTTATACTGTATATATTGATAAATATACAATTGTCTTCCTTTATATAATAAAACTACTGTTTTTGAAGTCTCGGATCTAAAAATATTATTTATATTTACTTAGAATAAATTAAATATTGCTCACTTATTGTATTTAATAGTCAAATATGAGTAATTGTGGTTAGACGGATGTCGAAATTTTCGTCAAATAAAAAAAGAAAACAGAAAAACAGTTCTTCAGTTCAATACTTTTATTTCTGTTTTTTTCTTTTTTTATCAAAGTTATCAACTCCACACACTTGTTAAAATACTGCAGGAAACTTATTATCTGTCTTCATACAGCAAAAGAAAAATCAAAGAGAATAAGTACAGTAAAACTTGTCTAAAACGGAAACCTGTCTAAACGGAAAAAATTCTTTGGAACGGAGCGATTTTCTATGCTAGAAAACATGTTCAAAATGGAAATATGCCAAACCAAAACAAAATATTCCATACCGTGCGATTCCTGTTTACACAGGTTTAATTGTATCTATATTCCTTATAATCGCACGTAACTAAACAAATTTTGATCTAATTATAAATTATAAATAGGCTATAGACTACACGAAGTATTATATAATACTTCGTGTAGTCTATAGTAAATCTAGTACGTATATTCGGTGTTCTTTTTAATTCAGGAAGTGAAGATGTACTTACACGCATTTATCTCTACATGTAAACATCTTTGAGCTGCAATTCGAAAATTGAAGCAAATTCCCACAGACGTCCGTCCGTTTGTCTATCCTTCCTTAATCTCGAGAACAGAGTTAGATGAAAGTCGAGACCAGATATAGAGGCCCCGATTAACTAATGCGATCTTCCGGTGTGGAAGTGGAAGTCACATGATTTCAATTCAGAAATTTTCTCCAGAAAGGTGTTAGATAGATGAGTCTGTATGACTCTCTTGTTATCAGGAAAAGCACGTTATACAGGGGCAAGCCACTATTAAAATCGAGATGTATTTTAAATTAAATAATTAAAAATTGCAGCCCAACATTATGACGACGTCACAATAATTCTTGCTTTTTAATAGATAAATTTCTAATGGCTCAAATAATAAATTAGACTAAATATGTATACGCATATTAGTAACGTAAAATGGGATTTTGAATATCGAATACAAAATCTTGATTCATTGGAATGGGGAAAAAGTAAACAATTGCAGATGTTTAATATTTTAAATAGAAATAAAAGGAAAATAGAAAGTCGACAGAAGCGATTGAAAATATCGTTGAACTTGTTCTTTCTTATAGCATTTGTACGAAGTACAAAATAACACGCACTTTGTTCAAAGAGCGTCAATAAACTGGATTATATTCTAGGAAAATGGCGACAAAGAAAAATTCCATTCAATACATCAAATAGCAATCAATTTAACATTAAATATTTCATGTGGTGTTATTATCAATATCGAATGAGGTCGGTTTCTGTCATTCATTTATAACACGTCTCACGTTATAACTCGATGCGCTCATTCATGTAAGAATTTATCTTGAATAAATCCATTCTAGAATGAGGACACGCGATTACTTTTTCAGATAACAAACTGTAATTAAAATGAATAACATCCCTATATTTCATCTGAATAAAGAATATACAGTAGAACTTCAATTATATTCTCTTTGTTTTTTTAAGTATAAAGTGAAATGTATGCCTTTTTCTTATGTAGATTTTTAAAATTTTTTAAGTAAAATAACACAGCTTACTAATAAAATAGTTATAATTTTCTAAAAATTAGAGTTTTAAAACAAATCTTAAAATAACTACATGAATTAATTTACAGAATATAGAAGTTGACAGTAAAATAAAATGGAGTTGACACGTATCAAGAGTTAGATATACAAATTATAATTTGTAATTATATATAAAAACTGTTACTGTTTGCAAAATCAAATTTGAAATGTTACATCTACAGAGTGTTCGGACAGACATATAGGTTTTTTAATTTGCTG